TTGTATATGCACGTGTGCATATTTGCAGGGATGGAAGTCTGAGGTTGATGGTGGGTGTCTTCCCTGATTGCGCTGCATTTTATGTGTTAGATGAGACTGAGTGCAGTCACAGTGGTATGACTGTAGACCACCTCATATACTGAGACAAGGCATCTTCCTGAACCTGGAGCTCACTGTTTGAGCTAGCCCTGCTCCAAGGATTTCCAGTTTCTACTCCCCCCCGACACTGGAACTACACAGGCAGGTGGTTAGGTCCCCTGGCTTGCTTTTTTTTTTTTTTTTAAATAGGGTCTCCTTATAACCCAGCTGGTCTAGAACTCACTATGTAGATCAGGCTGGCCTGGATCTCACAGAGTTCCACCTGCCTCTGACTCAAAGTGCTGGGACTAAAGGTGTGCATGTGCCAACACACCTGGCCCACTTGGCTTTTTACCATGGATTCTGGAGATATGCACTCAGGTCTTCACACTTGTGCAGAAAACCCTTTATCTTCTGAGTTGTCTCGCATCCCCACTGATTCACTTACAGTGTAAGTGGTGTCACCTTGGTATCAGTTTAGATTGTGGGGAAATGGATGATTTCAGAGGGAAACTGAATTTGGTGCAAGGCATGTGGAAAGTCAGCTAACCAAGGCCATTTTGATGGCATGGGCTCTTTTCCATCTTTGTCATAGTGTGTGAATATACATTTACTCATTAAAAGGGTCAAATTCTCCAAGTTTATATTACAATCCATATTTTAATGGGGCAAGCCTAGGCTGGAGTTCCCTGTACTGACACTGACTGGAAAACACTGGCTTTCGTAGGACGAGCAGAAAGCAGAGGATGAGTTGGCTAAGAAACGGGCAGCCTTCCTTCTGAAACAGCAGCGCAAGGCTGAAGAGGCTCGTGCACGGAAGCAGCAGCTGGAGGCCGAAGTGGAGCTCAAACGGGATGAAGCCCGGTAACGTCTCCCCGCAGCCTCTGTCTTTGTCTGGGAGGGCAAGCGGGCTGCCACACCCCAGTTGGGATGGCAGCTCACAGCCACTTTACTCCTCTCTCATGCCCTCATTGCCACTTGTCACTAGCCATCGTAGTACACATCTGTACAGTGCTAGTGCCAAGCACTTCCTTGGCAGCCCCATGAGCCACAGCCACCAACACACAGCACAGTCCAGGAAGTAAGTTGCCTGTGATCACAGCACTCTCTAGAAAACCTGAGTTCAGCAGGTGACTCAGTCAGGGTCTGTCCTTTTCACCACTGCCTCCTGGTCCCCAGTCTCCCACAGCCCTAGAATTCTGTGTTGAGAAGCAGGGAAGCACCTGGGAGACAGCTGCGGGAGATGGGTCTGGTGATGTGTCCCTCTGACTCCAGCTATTATGAGCCTGTCTTGCTCTCAGGCGTAAAGCTGAAGAAGACCGCATCCGGAAGGAGGAGGAAAAGGCACGGCGAGAGCTCATTAAGCAGGAGTACTTGCGAAGGAAGCAGCAGCAGATCTTGGAGGAGCAAGGACTTGGCAAACCTAAATCAAAGCCGAAAAAGCCACGGCCAAAGTCAGTGCATCGAGAAGAATCCTGCAGTGACTCCGGAACCAAGTGTTCCTCCACACGTAAGCAGCTGTCCTCCATGTGTGTGGCACCTGGTTCATAGTGCTCAGCCTCTTTATCTCACAGTTTTTAAAGAAGTGTGAGGTGGGCAAGGTGCACAGGGCTATACCCCTTCAAGTATGCTTGAGAATGCCGAGTCCCATGTGATGCTTGGGGATGGCAGGGGGCATCCAGCGTTTGGGGTGGCTGGGCCTGGCAGAGGGAGGCTCTGCACCTGTGGGTGAGGGCAACCGGGGCTCACCTGGAGACCTCTGCATAGTCTGCTGACTTCCTGTCCCTACAGCCGATAACTTGAGCCGCACACATTCTGGCTCCAGCCTGTCCTTGGCTTCTGCAGCGACAACAGAACCCGAGAGTGTTCACTCAGGGGGCACACCTTCTCACCGGTAAGCCCAAGCTGCAGCACCTCAGTGCACATCTGCAAGGGAAGGGAGGGGCTGCTTTCAGGGGAGATGCTTGTGCAGTTCTTGACTTTGCAGTACTTGAGAAGGAGCCCTTCTTTGCCCTCAGGCTCTCTGTCACGTCTGTGCATACACATTGTCTTGTGGAGGAGTAAGTGAATGGCATCCAGCCCCTCCCCTCCCACCTTCAGTGCGTTCCTCGTGATGTCACTTGTTAAATCATCATTCTGTGTGATCCCCAGTCTGTGTCTAGTCATCATCTGTTGTCCCTGTAACTAGTGTCCCAGCCTGGTTCTGTTGAAATGCTGTTGATCCAGGACTTTACCATGACAGCTTTGCATCCTGCCTCTCACCTGCTCCTTCTGTTGGTGGAGTCATGTGCTCTCAGGTGGAGCAGCCTGAAGTTCAGTTGTCTCTCAGGCACCGGGTCAGGCGGGGATGTACATCTTTTGTTGGGGAAAGTGGTGTTTCCTATTTTTCTACCAGCTGTTAAAACTTGCCCATTCTTTGTGTTCCAAGTAACTTTCCAAGTTATCACTGACCTTGACTACAGGCTTTTGGAACCTCTGCTGAGCCCTTTGTTCTTTGCTATCCTCTTCCTATTAGTAGTAGTGTCTTCTCCCCAACCACATGTCCCTCCCTATATATATGTGAAGGCATTGTGTACATGCTGTCACTGAAGAGGCATTTTTCTACCTCTCTGTGTCTACTGACTTTTTGTCTCCTGGATTGTGGAAAACTGAGGAGCCTGGATTTTGCTGTAGTTCTGTTCCGAGAGTTAGTTACTCACCTGAATTCCAGCCCTCAGTCCTGTTTGCCTGCCTTAGGGAGCAGCAGCCTACTCCGTGAACCATTGTCTCCAGTCTTCTGGCCTTGGAGCCTGCTGCATACGATAGAGCCGTCCCTGCAGGTGCAGCCCAGACCTGCCAGGAACCAGAGAGTGTCTGATTGTGGTTTCCAGACTGGCTCTACTGTGGCCCCTCCTTCTTTGGGCCTCACCACTTGCTTGGCAGGGCACAGTCACCTGTCCCTTGTCCTCTGTTCCTGAACCTGCAACACTCACTGTGCACTCATGGTTGTCACAGGAATAGAAGCTGGTGAAAACCTGAGTCTTCCGTACTCACAGGGAGACCCCACTGCAACAGGGGACCTGCTTCTTGCCCTGATGGTGCAGGTGGCCAGTTCCTGGCAACAGGAGCAGCTGCCACTTGCTGGTTGTGGGGAGAAGTGTGATCTGTGGTTAGAATACCCTGTCCTTTTCTGCCTGCAGAGTTGAATCGTTGGAAACCTTGCCCATTCTGAGCCGCAACCCCAGTAGGAGCACAGACCGAGACTGGGAGACCGCATCGGCAGCTTCCTCTCTAGCCTCTGTGGCTGAGTACACAGGTGACAGCCACATGCCCTCTCTAGAGTATATTGAACGTGGCACTACCTGGTGTGGCACTCCTTAAACTGTGTCTTTGTTTGGGACCAAAAGGTATTTTTCTACTTAAGTGTGTATCCAGTGGCAAAGCTGTGTCTGACTGCTAGGTGTTCACGGTAGGGGTACAGTGCAGCAGAGTAGAAGAGGCCTCTCCTGGCCTCAGATTTGTTCTGTGGGCCATGGCTAATGCCAGCTCTCGACTACTTTGGGAACAGAGCTAAGGCAAGACAGCCACACATCCTGGGCACTTGGAACCTTAGGCTTTAAAAAGTGTTTCTTGGGGCTGGAGAGATGACTCAGCAGTTAAGAACACTGACACTGGCTGTTCTTGTAGAAGACCCAGGTTCGAATCCCAGCACCCATGTGGCAGCTAACAACTGTCCAAAACTCCAGTTCCAGGGGATCCAAGGGCCTCTTCTGTCCTCCCAGGGCATTGCACCACACAGGCGCACTTACTTACATGCAGGCAATACATGCATACACATAAAATGAAAAAAAATAAATAAATAAAATATTGAAAGTACTTTAAAAAAAAAAGTGTTTCTTGCCAGATGTGGTGGTGCACACCTTTAATCCCAGCACTCAGGAGGCAGAAGCAGGTATATCTCTGTGAGTTCAAGACCAGCTTGTCCTACATAGTGAGTTCCAAGGCCAGCCAGGGCTACATAGTGAGACCCTGTCGCAAACGAAACAAAATAAAACAAAAATTTGTAACTGAATTCTTTTGCGTAGATTTGAAGCGGTCCCTTCAGAACATTTCTAGAGATTCCCAACCGTCCATCATTGCAGCTTTCTGTACCTTGGTTCTGAGAAAGTGGTGTTCTTCTTGGAGTGTGTTTGTGGTCTATATTACTAACTTTGCAAATCTTGATCTGGTTTTCTCAGGTCCTAAGCTCTTTAAGGAGCCCAGTAGCAAGTCAAACAAACCGATTATTCACAATGCTGTCTCCCATTGCTGTCTGGCTGGAAAAGTGAACGAACCTCACAAGAATTCAATACTGGAGGCAAGTGTCCAGTTTCATGATGTGTGTCATGTGGAGAATCTATCACAGATGATGCATTCTTGCTGAAGAAGTCAAGCCTTGTTATTTGTACAGAGCTGTGTTCTTTTAAATTACCCTGCTGTTGAATAGCTAGGGAGCCAGGTTACTAGGGAATAGAGGAGGGGTGTCTTGAGGTGTGAATACAGAATTCTGTGGGGATGAGGTGGCCACACAGAAGAGTAGAATTTTGATACAGAGTCAGTTGTTCCATGTGGGACAGAGCCAGGATCTAGGCATAAGGCCTTCCAGTAGGGAAGAAGATACTTTTATTCATGGTATCCACAGCGTGTGAACCATAGGAGGCCAGGCCCTGATCCAGTGGCTTACATTCTTGTGGGGGGATGTGGATAAGTTGTTTGTATTGGCATTGGAACCTAGCGCACAGTAGACAAGTTCCCTGCTACCAGGCATCCCTCTCCCCCCGTGTTAGATGCTTTTTAAGTGGAGAACAATTAGAAATAGTTTGGTCACTGAGGGCAGTGCACCTGGAGACGGAAGGGAGACCCTGCTGCATTGCTGTTGTTGGAGGTGGGAGTTGTGGGAAAGCGTGGGCCTGGGTCACCATTAACTAGAAGGCTTTGTCAGGTGAGATGCTGACTGTCTATGCTGAGGTTAACACTGACCATGCCTGCTACTAGAGGCAGGTCTGGGTTCTGTCTTCTTACAACAGGAGATAAGCTGAGGATGGTAGGTCATACCTATGATCCCAGCACTCAAGAGGCTGAGACAGGAGGATTACTGTGAATTTGAGGCCTGGACTACAGTATAAAACTCTGTCTCACAAAAAGAACAAGAAAAGGAAATGTTGATGGCCTTACCAAATGGAAGGATCCAGAAGGCAGTTAGAAAGGGAAAGTCGGGTCTGGAGAGATGGCTCAGCGGTTAAGAGCACTGACTGCTCTTGCAAAGGACCCGGGTTCGATTCCCAGCACCCACATGGCGGCTACGAACCGTACTTAACTCCAGTTCCAGGGGAACCTGAAGCCCTCTTCTAACCTCTGCAGCATTGCACGACACGGGTGCACTCACATACGTGCAGGCAATACGCTAGTACACATAAAATAAAAATAATAATAAAAATAAAATACTTTTAAAAGAAAGAAAGGGAAGGTCAAGCTTAGAGTTTGGCATGCTCTTTGCAGTTGGAAGCTTTCAGTCTGGGTGGTGAGGGAGAACCACATCCACACAGCAAGTGTATATGGCATGCCACCTCTGCTGCAGTGCCACTCAGAGTGCGGGGACATTGATGGACAGCCTGCAATAGCCAGTGAGCACAGGCACATCGAGTAGACCACTGGCCACTGTCCAGGGAAGAGTCACAGATGATGGTAGACAGGATGCCCCTGTGGGCCAGTCATGAAGGCAGCCACAGAGTCAGCAGATGAGTGTGTGAGACTGATTCCATCAAACTTGACTCAGTATATGGGCCACAGATAGGAAACAAGGAATTTGAAGAAAGTACAAAGCAGCAGCATCGGGCCCCGTGCAGAGCTCCAGGGCTGGGCACAGTGCCAGGAAGTTGGGCCCAGTGGGGTTTTCATGAACAGATGACACTCAGGCAGTCGCAGGAAGAACAGCGTGTGCAGATGGAGGGCCGCCAAGAGAGAGGACGCTGCGGGCTCAAGGTCTGGTCTGGTCAGAGGACCCAGACACTGGGCCTCCGTGGACCAAGGCAAGACTGGGGTGGTACAGCTGAGCAGAGATGGGCAGGAGCTGCCTGACTCCCGGTGGCCAGAACAGCAGAGCCAGGGGTGCAGCAAGGGGAGGGAGGAGTGGCCTCCCAGCATGCCTAGGGAGGGAGGAGTGGGCTCCTGGGCACCTTTGGAGGGCACAGCCAGCTTCATGGTTTTACGGGGAGTGATTGAGGTTGGAGGTGAGGGTCCTCAGGTCCTGGCTAGAATGGAGGAGGTTCTGTGGTGGCCAAGGGCACAACTGGTGGAGTGGAGGTCAGAGTTCCATGAGCAGCGTGCTGACCTTGGAATGACTCAGCGGGGCTGAGTCCATGCCTAGGAGGTTTCTGGAAGCAGACACCTCTAGCTTGGTTCCTTAACCTGGCAGGAATGGAATTCCAGGAGGAGGAGGCCATGGGAAGCTCAGGGCCATATTGCACTTGTGTTTATGAAAGTGTCAGGTTGCTGACCTTCAAATGCAAGAAGAAGACAATGAGCGGCCTTCTGCCTTCATCGGAGATTGTGACTCCAACCAAGCCTGGTCTTCATCTGCGTGTTTTCAGTTAGGGAAGTTTACGGTGCATCTCAGGAGAAGCTCCTTTCTGTTTTCCTTCTTTTTTCTTATTTTTTGTTTATTATATATAATTTTTAAATTTAAAAACTAAAAAATTCTTTTAAGTATTTCATGCATGTATACAATGTATTTTGATCATATCTTACCCTCTTCCCCCCCAAGTCCCCCAACATATTCCCCTTCCAACTTCTTTTCTTTCTTCCTTCCCTCTCTCTCTCTCTCTGTCTCTCTCTCTCTCTCTCTCTCTTTCTTTCTTTCTTTCTTTCTTTCTTTCTTTCTTTCTTTCTTTCTTTCTTTTTCTTTCTTTCTTTTTTAAATAACCCATTGAGTCTAGTCAGTGTGCCCCATATGTGCATGGATGAAGAACCGTCCAGCGGAGCCGGGAAACCTACCCGTGGCCACATCTCCAAAGAAAACAATTGTGTCTCCCTGCAGCCATCACCTGCCAGTAGCCCCTCCCCATCCACGCTGGAATGTTGACTTGCTTGATCTTGTACAAGTAGCCAGTGGTGTAGACATCCAGGGAAGCAAGTTAATGCAGCCAGTGCCAGTCTGCATTCCAGCCACAGCACAGGGATGGCGTGCTTTGGCTACACAGGGCCCTGTGCATGAGAGCTGGCGTTCACTGACTTCCTGACATTCTGGAGGGTATAGGCAGTATCTCACTTGGGTTTCCTGGAGGCTGATGCTGTGCATCTTCTGTGACCCCTCACTTTGTGCCTTGCTCACCTACATTCTGAAGTCTCAGGGCACCTGATGCTCTCTCAGGTGACTAAACTTAATTTTGTAAAGCAGGACGGCTCTGCAGGATATACAGTAACTCTTCTTAAAAGTGGGTGCTTCTGGGGGCTGGAGAGATGGCTCAGCGGTTAAGAGCACTGACTGCTCTTGCAGAGGACCCAGGTTCGATTCCCAGCACCCACATGGTGGCTACGAACCATCCTTAACTCCAGTTCCAGGGGAATCTGAAGCCCTCTTCTGACCTCCGCGGCATTGCACGACATAGGTGCACTCATATACATGCAGGCAATACACTCATACACATAAAAAAAATAAAAATAATAAAATATTATTTTTAAAAAGTGGGTGTTTCCTGGACACTCACTGCTGTAGATTAACACCTATTGGATCACCACGGGGACCCCGGGTGCTGGGGGTGGCATTCAAATGTGTCCCATCTCTTCCCACCCTCCAGGAGCTGGAGAAGTGTGATGCCAACCACTACATCATTCTGTTTCGAGATGCTGGGTGCCAGTTCAGGGCGCTTTACTGCTACTACCCTGACACTGAGGAAATCTACAAACTCACTGGCACGGGGCCAAAGAGCATCACCAAGAAGATGATCGACAAGCTATACAAATACAGCTCGGACCGAAAGCAGTTTAACCTGATTCCAGCCAAAACCATGTCTGTGAGCGTGGACGCCCTCACAATCCATAATCACCTGTGGCAGCCCAAGCGGCCCGCAGTGCCAAAGAAGACCCAGACTCGTAAGTGACCCACAGCAGCCAGGACTTGGAGAGGATGTGCCGACGGGATCCGTATTTATTATTTTCATCCATTTGGGTACGAAATGTGTGGAGCCACAGACCCTTCTTCTGCAGAGGTTCCCAGAGAACAAAGAAGATCCCTCTCACTCCCGCATGGATGCTGGGCAGGGGAGAACAGGGGGTGAACACTGGCTTTGGAGCACGGCTGCTGTGGCCCTGCTGACCACTGAGACTGTCAGAACGAAGGGCATCATGGGGCAAGGTCCTGGGCTGTGTACCCTGTACTTGAAGTTCTTCAGGATAAGTTCAATGTGATCTCTCTGGCCTCCCCCTCACCCCCTTTGCACATTGCCTGATGCCCCACGTTGGCCAGCTGTAATCGTGCGTGATTATAGGGCCAAGGCTCACTCTCGGGTCAGGGTGTTTGAATGTCTTCATAAAAGGAGTTCGTATGGGAAATCTTTTTCAGAAATTGTATGATATTTATTGACTGTGTCTACTGCCAACCTTTATATCCAGTTCTAAGAGTTCTGAAAAATCCTGTTCCTTGCTGCTCAGAAAAAGTTTACTGAAAATGCCAGTTCACCAAAAGCACTGAAATGGCAAAGTCTGTCTTCTGCTAAAATGACGTTTACACATTTGGAGGTGATTATTTCTGCCACACAGTGGGGAAGGTCTTGGGGTGGTACTGCTAGCTGGTGCTGGCCTTGTTGGAAGCAGGCAGCCAGGCCAGCCTCGGCCACTGATTGGGTCTGGCGGAGTGTGCTGATGATTTGTTCACTTTAATAAAGGCAGATTTTGGTACAGTAGCATATTTTTCACTCTGAGCACATTTCTCTTGAGATGCCGCACTTCGGCCGACAGTTCTTGGTGGTGTTGTGATGTCCGACCCTGTTGCATTTCTTGCTTCTGGAGGAGCAGCATGCTCTGTGGGGTGCGCAGTCTCAGGTGAGGTTGGGAATAGTTTTGTTGTCTCTTCTAAAACCAGTTTGTGGTTATTTACAGTTATTCCAGAATTCCAAGTTGGTAAAACCACTTTGGGTTCTTCCCCTCACTGGTCCCAGTGGTGGCTGACTCACCACAGTAGACATTCCTGGGAAGCAGGTGCATCTCAGCCCCAACCACAGTGTGTCCACGCGTGAAGGCACCCCCATGATGGACCAGCTGCCCGAAGACCCTGGAGCCACTTTTTAGTTTTGCACATTTCTTTTTGAGAGTGTTACTTGAATCTATCTGAACTGCAGAAAAAAAATTGAAGATAATATAGAGAAAAAAATAGAAAGTGTAACTGTTGATAATGTTAGGTAGATGGGAGAAGGAACATGGTATAAACAGTAGAGGGACGTGAAGGCCTCCACTTCCCTCTTTCTTTGCGACTTTGTACGTGTCAGGCGTGACGCTGTGCTGTAATTAACACAGCTGTATATGAACATTAAAGTCTGACCGCCTGTCCCCAGCTGTCCCCACGCGTGCTTCATTTCTAACTGTGCACTTGATGTTTTATCATATTTATTTTAAGAAAGCACTAAAATGTAATAAAGTTATGAGCTGGCTGGCTTTCTATTAATTGTGTGTGTGGTTGTCACGACTCGTTCTGCTGGCAGTGTCACCACCCAGCTTCTGGCTTCGAGGCAGCTGCATGTGGCCTTTGTGTCACCTGGTCCTGTGGGAGTCAGCGGACTTTGATTCTTTTTCATGAAGAGTTGGAAGACCAAACGTCTGATATAATGAGTTGACGTAAGGCCCATTCTGAAGACCAACTCAGTGCAGGATCGGGACGCACCAGCACAGCACCTGTGTGTCGGAGGCAGTAGCTGTCAGGCCGTGTGGCTTGATGGCTAAGAAGCATTCCCTGCCTTCCATGTGCCTTGGCCCAGCAGCTGTTACTGTTAGTAGGAAGTTCCAGGTACAAGGCACTTTTATGGGTGTGGTGGCAGGTTTAGGCCTTCTGGCTGAGGTGCAGGTGAGGTGGTTTCATTGTGTGGCCCTCAGTCATGCTCTGCTGCAAGGGCTGTTTTCTGAGCCCTTCCATGTGTTGAGCTGTGTTCAGCCTTCTGTGCTGGGAAGGCTGCTGGTCTTAACACTGGTCTTACACAGTCTCCAGCTGTGTTAAGGGAAGATGCTCTATCCATGTATGATGTGACTTTGTACAGAAAGTATCAAACGATTCAATTTGTGAAGATACATATGGGTAATTCCTTGGTAACGACAGAGTCTGAGGAACCCAGAAGGGGTTGGTATTTAAGAGAAAAGACACACAGCCCTATTTTCACATGTATGTGTAGCTGTGTGTAAATGAGTATATGCATACACATGTCGCTGTGAGGGGCCTGTGTAGACATGCATGTATGTATACAAGAGTACATGTATAGGTGTAAGTGTGGGTGTGCATCGACAGGGTCACATTGTAGATGAAGGCCTGCATGCATGTGCATATGTGTATGTACGCCAAACACCGCTTTGAGTGTGACCTTTTGACTTGATCTAAGTGTATGCTTTCAGTGCCATCTCCAGAAAGACTTTTTAGGCCCAGAGTACTTCAGGCGACAGTGAAAAGTGACATAGTACAATATTTACTTCTAGATGGTTCTTTGATACCCTAAAACTATGTTACTTGGAAGAAGAAAAGTGTTGGAATGAAGTTTTCTGTAAAAAGTTAATCAACTTGGATAAACTTTTACAGATTCTGATTTGTTCAGTGAAATGGGTTTGACCTTGGTGATGTGAGACAGTATCTTAAAGTGGCTTCACTCCATAGTTAGCGGTGTCATGTGCTACCTATGGAAAGGTCTGTGCTATGGCTCTGTTGTGGCCATGGCCGAGCTGCCGGCCACTGTTAGAAGCAGGCACGCCCAGCACCCTCTCTCATGACACCTTTCCTAGTGAAACGGCCTTTCCTGGAGCCTAGGGTGCACTCTGGGGCACCCCAGGGTTCTGGTGTCACCCACAAAGTGTTCTCCTTTGCTGTCCCATTTGAAGGTCTGTGCTGTGGGCACTGTTAGGGGCTTCGGAGCTGATAGAAGCCACTCTGATGAACACCTGGGTCTTAGTGCACGGATGGCAGGTTCCTTCCCCAGCCCCTTTATCCCCCATGCGGGTTCCTTGGATTGTGTTCTGGAAAGTGCAGATGGGCTGTAGCATTCAACATCCTGAAACCCCACCCTCTTCCCAGAGGAGGGACATCCTCCGTCAGCCTCCGTCAACCTCTGTCTCTGTAAGTGTTTCATATCCATGTTCCCTAATCATTCCTGAGTGATGAGGTACTGCACCAAAACTGTGAGTGGTGGCAGTGAGTACCAGAGCCTGGGTTGTGTCCTGTGAGTGGTTTGCGTCGGGATAAAGCTTTTTTTTTCCCTGCCTTTTTGAGACAGGGTCTCCCTGTAGCCCCAGCTGTCCTGGAACTCACTATGTAGACCAGGCTGGCCTTAAACTCACCGAGATCCGCTTGCCTCTGCCTCCCAAGTACTGGGATTAAAGGTGTGCGCCACCACACCCGGCCTGGGATAAAACATTTCAAAAAGTTTTTATTTTATGTGTATGAGTATGTTGCCTGCATGTGTGTAAGTGCACCTGTGAAGTCTGATATCTGCGGAGGTCAGAAGAGGACATCGGATCCCCTGGAACTGGAGTTATAGACTGTTGTTAGCCACCATGTGGGTGCTGAGAATCAAACCTTAACCTCTGGGCCATCTCTCCAGCCCCAGAGTAAAGCACTATTTCACAGTGAAGACTGACACAAACTTGGCAGCAATATGGAAGCACCTTCCCCATGACAGGGGAGGCCCAGCCAGCCTTACAGGAAGGCCAACAGCTGCAGAGAGGCCTTGTGTCTGGGAGCGCGCACGGCCTGGTGGGGACAGATGTTGGAGCCTACAGGCCTGTAGCTTGCCTCACTGGTGGTCACAGTGTGTAGGCTTCATCTGTGCCTATGTGAGCTTTGGAGAGTAGGGGTGCCTGAGACTGCACATCTGCCATGTTTGTGGCCACACCATAGGGTTCTCAAGGTGATGGTGACCAAAACTTAGTTTTGGTCTTTCTGTCCTGGGCCTTTATTTCAAAACAGGCCTTGTTCTTCCTAAAGGGAAGTGGAACACCAGGTGATCAGCCAAGCCAGTTTTCATAAGGTCCTTTTCTGGAATCAACAAGCTGTCCCTTGTGCTTGTTACTAGGGCTCCCCCCTGGACGTCTTACTTGGAAATTACGTTTAGTAGTAAATGTTTATCCAGGCTTCAGTACCTAACTGCCCATTCACGCAAGTCCACTTACCAGCCCTTCTGAGGCTGCGATAAGAGGCACTTGTGGAGTTGGGAATGTGCTAGGCCATGCTGTTTCATAGTGACATTTAAGTTTATTTCGTATTGCTTCAAGTCACATGGTTGTTGAGCTCACAAGCACACCTGTGCTCTGTTTCTTGCCCCAGGACAGTACTCCTGGCACAGTGCTCCGGTGATATGTAGCACTGACAGTGTCCCATGCTGGGACTTTGGGGTTCTGGGCTTGGCCTCAGGCAAGGATGTTTGCTGTTGCTTTGGGGCTATACATGTTTAAGGCTGGGGGGTTGGGGTGTCCCCTGTAGGGCAAGGTGATGACCACCAGCTGAGGGGGCTAGGGATGGGCCCAAGGTAGTTATCCATGGGGACATCTCCCTTTGAAACTTGTTAGTACTAGGTGAACAGCCAGTAAAAGGTGGTTAAACTTCCTGCTGGCTGGAGTCAAGGACAGAGTGCTTTCCCTGCACCCAGGTGGACAGAGCGTATCCTTCGGGAAGGTTGGGAAGGTTGTAGATTCCAACATCAAGCAGCTCCTGGGCGGGCAGGGAACATGGCCACAGCAGTGTCATACTGAGCATGCTGGGAATTAACATGGCCACAGAGAACAGTAAACCTTACTAATGGCATCTGTGGATCTGCTGTGGGTGCGGCCACAGGCCTGAGGCTCTGTCTGGGATGGTTGGGCTGCACTGTGAGACTGACAGTCATGTCCCTGCCTGACCTCTAGAGATGACCCCAGGACCAGGCACACCTCCCCGCAGAGCTCCAGAGGTACTACTAGTGACACTGGCTGGGATCCTGTCCCTGTGTGTTTGGGATGAGGACTGGAGGCGTCGTCCAGAGTGGCTTGCCCTTGACCTAGTGTCCTCACAGCTGCAGCCTGACTGACCTGCCTAGAGCCACAGAAATAACAGCATCTGCCTCTCGGGATCTGAGGGCAAAGGCGGGGCCTCCTGAACCAGCCAGCAAGGCATGTAGACATGAGGGTGTGCTCAGGCTGGCCCAGGCCTTGTTGCTGCCCAGGCCCACCCATCTCATGGGCACCACCCTGCCACAGACGCTGCCAGGTGCCCTCTGCTGCAGCGTGGTTTTCCTTGTCCTGACTGCAGCTGAATCCACTGAGTAATTAGCTCCTCTTTCTAGGTAGTTAAGGCTTATTTGTGTTTACTTTCTAATTCTTGTAAATTTTTTCTATTTTTTTTTGTGTGTGAATGTATTGCCTGCACGTATGTAAATACACCCATTTTGTGCAATGCCCATGGAGGTCAGAAGAGGGCATCAGATTCCCCTGAACTGGAGTTACAGATGGTTGTTAACTGGGAATTGAACCCGGTCCTCTACAAGAGCAGCAAGTGCTCTTAACTGCTGAGCCATCTCTCCAGCCCCTACTTCTTAATTTTTTAAGCTGTGTGTGTGTGTGTGTGTGTGTGTGTGTGTGCACGTGCGTGTGTAAGTATAAGTGTAAGTGTACACAGTTGTCCACAGAGACCAGAAGACAATGTCAGATCCTCCAGAACTGGGGTTTACAGGGTTGGGAGCTGCCTGATGTAAATGCTGGGAACCTTACAGGTCCTCCAGAAGAGCAGCCAGTGCTTTTAACACTGAGCCATCTCTCCAGCCTCTTGTGTTTACTTTTAAGAAATAGCGGTCGCTGAAGTTATCAAATAGGTATAGACCAGAGCATGCAGGTGCAAGCCCTCCTCGGTTCTGTGCCAGGCAGGTGGCATTCATCCTCAGACTTCCTAGTGTCCACATGGGATGCCACGTGAGCAGGCTTTCCACCATGAACCAGGCACTCTGCTGGCACATCACAGCCAGACGGCAGTGAGGAATGTGGGGTGGTCACTACTCAAGCCTCATCTCAGAGAAGAAGATGGCAACCAGCAGGTTACTGTAGGCATTGGACCTCAGAACCTTCTGATTGCAAAGTTGTTCAGATGGTAAGGTGGGAACAGGGACATCTCAGCCCCCAGGGAGCAGGAGAGAAGCCATTATCACCAGGCTTAGAGATGGCTTGGGGCCTGTCAAATCCTGCCCCTGCTGTGTGG